CCCCGCCCCCCGGGACTCACCTGTCTCATCGGTGACGTGTCGTCGCCGTCCTCGTTAACTATCCTCCTTCCTCCAGGGTGTGCGCCCGGGCTAGAAACCCTTTCGCCTGTTCCAACGAGCTCGATCGATAAGTCGCTGCTCCCTTTGTTTACGTGACACACACGCACGCACACACACAGGCAGGCTGGTGCACTCCTTGACCACGTCGCCGCTGCACGCACAGGTGGAGGCCCTCGCGGTGGCCACGGGGCGGGGCCGCGGGCGTACAGGTCCTGGGGCTGGCCGTGGCCCCCGCGGCGCGCGCGCACTCTACGACGGCCACCTCCACACCGGCTGTGGGCCCGGGGGGGCGGGGCGCGCGCGGGCGGGGCGGGCCGGGGCCAGGTCGCAGCGCGGCACGGCGGCGGTCGGTGCGCAGACGGAGGCGTTCCGAAGCCAACTAACCTCACTTTTGTACAGTCCCTCCCCCGCCGCCACAACAGCACGGCTCGGCTCGGCTCGGGGCGTCGACACCGCTTCGGCTCGGCTCGGGCCCTCCCGGCTCGGCCGCGTATCGATTGGACCGCGCCGCGCGTCGCGACGCTACGCTCAGCTACGCTCCGCCCGCTGCACGGCGGCGGCGCTGGAGAGCTGAGCTGGAGCGGCTGGAGCCGAGCTGGAGAGGAGACTGGAGAGAGAGCGCTGACCCTGCCTAGAGTCCTACCCTGCCCAGCCGCGCAGCGCGCGCAGCGACACCCGCATCCCGTGTACGGCGCGAGGAACCCCCCCCCCCTCCCTCCCCACACTCTGCCTCCTCCAACGAGGTGATCAAAAGCACGAGCCCAGAGTGTTGTCCCTGGACACACACACACACGCATACACACACACACTAGCTGGCTGTTAACGCGAATAGGACGTCGACGATGACGACGACGACGACAACGGCGTCCTCTTCTTTCTATCTAGGATCAGATCCTGGTGGACGGGTGGGGCCGGCCGGCCGTCGAGAAGTGGGTTACGCCCTTGGGTATGTTTACCGCCACTATAGGGAGGCGAGGGGGGGGGGCGCAGGGCTGGGAGGAGCACAGCCGCGCAGCCTACACGTGGTGAGTAGGGTGAATGTGTGTCAGTCTCGGCCCTTGTTGCACGACCACCATCACAAAAACTCGAAGTAATATCTTTAATAATTTTGACGCATGCACTACGTACGTACGTACGTAAGTACAGTACAGACAGGTTTCAATCTACCCAGCCACTTTCAGCTGCGCTGCGATTTCTTACAGCGCGCCGAGTACTAGTTGAGTGAAGAGTGTCACCGAGTGTATAAAAGCGCAGTGCGGGTACTTGCACCTTGCATCCACCCGGGTATGTCCCCTGGCCGTCGTCACCGGTTCAGGAATCGCCCGAGCCCGATCGGACTGACCCCACCCTGACCCGCGCGCCCCTCCGCGCTCACCGCCGGTACAGTAGGCAGCCCCTCCAGCTGCGCCGTCGCGTGGGCTGCCCGAGCGGGGCGGCGGGACGGGATGGGGTACTCACTTGCGACGCGAACGTGCTACAGCTGTGTGTGTAAGTACTAAGTGTAAGTACTAGTACTTACTGGTCGCTCAGGTCCACGATGAGCCGCCGCGGGTCCACGGCCACGTTGTGTGTGTAAGTACTAAGTGTAAGCACTAAGTGCAAGTACTAAGTGTAAGTACTAGTACTTACTGGTCGCTCAGGTCCACGATGAGCCGCCGAGGGTCCACGGCCACGCTGTGTCGCTGGGCCTTGTCCACGCGCCGCGTCCCTGGAGGCACAACAAGAGATCAGCTAACCGAACAGCTATACTGTATACTCACCCGAAAAAAAAATCAGTTGGCTAATGTAGCTAAGTAACGACACTAAACAAAATTAGCTATGTAGGTGAACATTTGGCCTCAACAGCAACTGTGAGCTGCATAGCTAATAGTTTATCTCTCCTTATTACGCTATGTATAGCCAAAAGGTGGCTACACAGCTAATTAATTATTAACCCGTGTTTAGCTATTGGTTTAGCTGTTTAAAATAAATCTTTTTTTCCCGCGTACACGCACGAACGCGCACGCCGTCGCTACCCCGTGACACGCTATACCCCCCACCCTAAGCACGGGGTATCGACAACCCCACTGGAGCAGCTGCGGCTGGCGCTATACCCCTCACCGGAGGGAGCCTCACGGGGAAGACCAATGGGAGCCGAGCGAGGGGGAAATCACTTGCGAAATAGTTCGTACACCTTTCCGCGAAATAGTCCAAAATAGAGGCGAAATACAGGCGAAATAGAGCGAAATAAAGACGAAATATACGCGAAATAGTCGGTGAAATAGTCGCGAAATACCCCTGAAATACTCCGAAATAGCGCGAAATAGCGCGAAATAGCCTGAAATAATCCGAAATAGGCGGGAAATAGCCGAAATGGCATGAGAAATAACCGAAATGGTAGGAGAAATACCACGAAATAGTCCGTACGCTACGAACCCTAGTGATTTCCCCCTCGGAGCCGAGGGAGGGAAGGGAAGTCGAGCAACAGTGTCAACAAAGTAAGAGCCGTCGATCTCGTCTGGGACAAATTTCTAAAAATTTGAACTGCTTTTCATTTTTTGAGATGACGTGAGAGACGGGATAGTTACTTGCAAAAAATATATCCTTTAAAAAAATTACCCTGTAATCCAAATTTGCATTTTTTTTTCCAGTCGGGAATATTTGATTTCGATAAGGACAGTCTAGCTAGTATTTCCCGATGCAACGTTCCGCCGCTCCAACCCTACCCTACCCCACAGTCCGCCCCTTATCTCACCGTGCTGTGAGCACAGCTAAATACTGATAAGCCTCGGCCCATACGGTCCCACGCTCACCGCACCCGCCCGGCACATCCGTACTGCCGCTGGGGCCTGATGCGACCGGCCAGGTGAAGGGCACAAGGAGGGGCTCTCATGATGCACAGGACCGACGATGATTGTATGTATGGGTTTCACAAGCGATCGCATCCATTTCCGATGAACTGTCGTCATGTCGGGGGTTCATGACCCCGGCGCGCTCACCTTTCTCGTACTTGGCCTTGAGCGCGACGAGGCTCGACATGAGGCGCGCGCGGTGCGACGAGTTGCGCACCCCGAGCTCCTTGATGTCGCCCTCCGAGAAGTGGATCAGGTCCTGGACGAGGTGGAAAGTAGAATTGTTAACAAATCATTACAACAAATATATAGTGTTACAACAAATATACAGTGTTCAAAACTTACGGAAAAAAAGTTAACTTAAAAAAAACCTTAAATAAATGCCTTAAAAATTTTCAAAAATCTTAAAAAAAAAAAAAACTAAAAAAGAAAACATTTTGAAAAAAACTTTTCACAAAAAAACTTTTTTTGAAAAGAAATTTTCCCAAACAAACTTTTTTCGAAAAAACTTTCATTTTTCTTCCAATCTACTTCTTTAAAAAAAAATGGAGTTCGCTTCTTACTGACCTCGACGCCGTCGAACTTGCTGAACAGCTCGGAGTACTGGTCGAGCTCGAGCACGGAGAGCCATCGCTGGGTGTCGATGTGGGGGCGGGCCACCGGCGCCGAGAGGCTCGCCTTGCTGCGCCGAGACAGCGACCCGATGGACGGGAACCGGAAGCTCCAGACGATGCCTGCGCGACACGAACACAAAAACAAAATCATGTCGTTGGCTGTCAAAATTATCTGCATTTTTTTTATTTCTATTTTTTTTGCGCGCGGTTGTTGAGGCAGAGCGGAGGCAGGAAAGGCAGTCGCCAGCCATCCAGAGGACCTTTCCGGTTCGAAAGGTCCCACTATATCGACCCCTCACCACCCGCTGCGCTGTTATGGCCTGGCAAAAGGTGAGTATCGTCCAACAAGGGCCGGCAGGGGCGCGGACCGCGCGGCACGGTGACCCAGTGCCGCCGAAAGTGAAGAGCTAAACATCTAGATCGTCAGGTTTATTGACAATTTGATTTTGAAAATTTTTTCTCAAGAAATTTGTCAGGAACTTTCTTGTAAAAGGTCTCTATCATTTCTGAAGGGCTTTACGTTTTTCGATTAATTCTGGAAACATTTCAATTGTTTCAAAATCTTCCTAGAAAAAATTTCCATTATTTCCGGAAATTTTCTGGACTTTTCAATCCAGGCAGTCGTGCTGAGCCGAGTGACCCGACTGCACGTCGGTATGTTTTCCTTGACAAGTTCTGGCCGGGATGCTGTTGGCTCGCGCACCACACTCTCGCTGTGTTCGGCCGCATCGGTCCCAGAACGCCGCCGCTCAGCCCATACAGCTCAGCGAAGGGCGCCGCCGCCGAGCCGAGCCGTTCGCAGAAGCGATCCCCGCAGCTGAGCGGGCTGAGCGGGCTGAGCGGGCGTGCTGAGCTTGCGGCTGCGCTCCAAGGGCGCCGGCGAACTGCAACGTGACCATCGGCGGCAACCGATCGGCGACCATCAGAAACCAAACCAGCGGGAAAGGGGCACTCGAAGCACTCAACGGAACCTCACTAGTGGAATATTATTTTAGTCAAAATGTTATAACATTGATGTTTTATTACTTTGCCCTTGGCGTGCTCATAAATTTGTTGATAATAATCATTAGAAAGGACGACAAATATATTGTTGATGTTTTTTTTGCGAAATTTGTTGCAAGAAAGTTGTCCCCCCATTGCAGGGAGTGTCTGGAGAGCGCGGATCGAACTCGCTGCCTCAAAATGATGCGATTAGGATAACGCGATCACGCTGTCATCTCCCCGGAGCTTTGCTCCGTCCTGCTCTCCCCGCCAACCATACTCCACTCTGTCCTGCTCTCTCTGCTCCGGAGCGGATTTGCCTATCGCGTGCACCTTCCTCGCGGGAGGCGGCCCCCGCGGTGGTTGTGGTGGTGGAGGAGGTGGAGGAGGTAGGTGGTGGAGGTCCGTAGGGGGCGACGACAGGACGGGGAGCGAGGCTTCCTTCTTGGCAGCGCGCCGAAACCAAAAGCCAAAAAGGGCCGCTCCATTAGGGAATCGGAGGGACAAAAAAAAGTAATATAAAACATAAAGTGCGAAAAATAAAGAAAAAGTGTGCGAAAAAAAAAACGAGACAGCAGTAGCAAAGGGGGGAGGG